GGGGGGGATGGGGGCTCAAAGCTTCCTCAGGAGTCACCGAGAGGAAACGGAAAGGAAGAGAGAACGCCTGCAGGTGACACCGGGCAGACGCCGCGCCCTCGTTTCTCTCACCCAGTCCTCCCATAACCTCCCGAATCGGGGTCCACTTCACAGATTAGCAAAGCAGTGCCTGGGGAGACTTCTCCAAGGTCACAGACAGAGAAGGGGCAGAACTATGATGAGAAGTGCAGGGTTCTCAGTCTGGCTTGCCCCTGTTTCTGAGAGCACGAGGTGACCTTGGGAGTCATGAGACTATACTCGTGGGCTGCTGGCAGGAGATGAGTGACGAGGAGAACTCAGACAGGAACGTCTGGCCATGGGAATGGGTTGGAGAAATTCCTGGGACAGAGAGGTGTCCTTGGCTTTAAAGAAAAGGGGTTGGCCTCAGTGACGAGGCATGCCAACCTATGTCTATGAAAACAAGAGTACTCCCAACTGAAGTCTTCCATTATTAGTCCCCTCCTGGTACTCCTCCTCCTCTACAGCTGAAGCTGTCTTCCATGACTAAGAGTGCCCGGCACCTAACAGGTGCTCAGTAAATGTTGACTGAATGAAAGATGAATGAATGAGTCGCCCCTTGCTCCAGGAAAATCTGTTTGGGGCAATGCCTTTAAAGATCAGTTTGCAAGGGGCTGGCAGGGAAGGAACAAGAGTTCAGAGTGGCCCCCTGGTAAAATAGCCAGCTCTCACTCCAAAAACGGTGAGATGACTCCAGGATGAGGGAACAGGGCCACAGGAGCCAAGTGCCAGGGGGAGGACTTCCCACAACACTTAGACCCTTAAGAGAACCTGGGCTTTGTGTGTCCGATCGGGAGAGCACTGTGCTTAGGGCCAACGGTGCAAGGGAGACATGGGAAGGACTCGGGAAGGGGCGGATGGGAGGTAACCAAGGTGAAGCAAGAACCAGCTGAAAGGGTTCAGCTAAAAAGCAGCAGGACAGACAGCAGTTAGATTTCAGGAAGTAAATTAATTTCTTCATCTCTGCAGCTACTAAGACTCCCAGAATCCACCCTCCCCCATCTGTGAAGTGTCTTCAGGGCGGTGGAAGCAGGGACCTCGCTCACGCTGGGGGCTGCCTGACTGTTCTGGCGCCCAGAAGGGTCCCCCGGTGTGTCTACTGAGGACAGGTCCGAGCTTATATACCTGATTCTCTCGAGAAAGTCAAACTCAGTGGTCCCGAGTTGGCGGGAAAGGGTTAACGACCAGGCCGACATGGAGTAGAAAGTGGGAAGAACGAGGAAGGCGAGAAGTGTTTGGAGCTGGCCCAGGCGCGCAGCACAGCAGCCTGGACCTCGCGGAGGCCCCACTGCGGAGGCAGGGAAGGAGGAGGCTGCCTCCCGCAGAGGTGTGGGAGCGGCCCAGGGTGACCCTGACATGGAGGCAGCGGGAACGCAGCCACCCTGGCCCCTGCCCCCCCGCGCCTGCACCAGGCCAGCCCCTGGACTCCTGCTCCAGCTGGGCAGCGACCCCCTTTCGGCTTCCGACCCAGAGCCCAGGCATCCGCCCCCGCCCCTGGCACCCAGGACTCCGGGCTCTCTGGCCGGCCGGCGCCCGGCTCTCCCAGAACTGCGGCTCCCGCCCCCGGCCCCCG